ATGAATTAACCATTATCAAAAATTAAAGAGTGTTCTCCAAACTAATTATCAAGCATACATAAAAGTTTCTTTCACTTATGCCAAGTTTCACTCTAAATAAAAGATTAGGTTCTTGGTATGAACAAGCCTCTGAATCTGTTCAATATGATTTTAAACAGTTTTTGGATAGGATACAAAGTTTCTAGTTGTTTAAAATTTCATCCGAAAACCTGCTAAGACCATATTAATGCAAATAAAGTGTTTAATAAAAAATCCTGAAAAAAATTTAGAAACAATAATTATAATTAATTAGAACCTCAAGGTCTAAATACTTGTAAGGAGACAGGAGGGAGGGGCCAGCATTACCGACTTTACGAAATCAAAAATCCAACTGTAACCGCAACGTCTGAGCACAAAATACTGGTAATGGGCATGAGTGAGCTCTAGGTAAATCCTTACTCGCGTTTTAAAGTTCTAGGCCGAACGTGTAAAATAAAGTTTTAGCGTTTTGTTGAAAATGTGAAATAGTTTTGAAAACGTAAAATTTTTTAAAACTGTCCCAAAGTTTAAATTTTTTTTTGTGGTTAACTTCATTTTTATCGGCTAACCGTTTATTTTAAATCTGATTTACTTCATTGTTTATTATCTTATCAGAATGAAAAATAAGTAACTCATTACGAACCTCGGATAACTTTTTATTTACAAATTATTTTAAACTTTGCTTTTTTGTTGTGATGTCGCAGCGAATGAAATTTTACTTCAAAATTGTAAGCATTTATATACACACACAAAAAAAAAAAAAATCATACAGAACTATATAAAAACTTTTTATTCCGTGACGTTTTCATAGTAATTTTCGTAACGATATTTTACTCAAAACGGCTACGACTTAAAAAATTATAACTTTTACGTTCTCGTAGCAGATGGCGTTTTGATTTCGTAAAGTAGCTATTAATGTAGTACGGACGTCTTCGGTACACTTTTAACTGCTACAACATAAAAACGCAACCTTGAATTGAGTTTTAATAGGGGGAGGTGATAATTCAGGCAAGGTAATAATCTACTACAGATAACCAAACATTACCAACAAAACTAAAACTCACGGAATGAAACTGTTCAATCGTTCAACAAGTCTGTATAAATAAAAAAAATCTAAAATCCAGTAAAAACTTTAGCAAAAAGCTTCTTATCATGACATTAAAATTTTTTTTTTTAATGTTATGATAATAACACTTTATTGTTATTGTTTACTTTATGTCTTGCTACTTTGATTTATTATGTTTTTGTTCATTACATCTTTGTATCATTATACTTTTGTATCATTATTTCTTTGAGGGACTACTAAAACAACGGGACGCGAAACTCTTATTTCATGTAGTTTTGACGGCAGAGCCGATGGAAAAAAAGAAGCGAAACACTTCTATTATTAAACAAAAATATAATTATCAATAAAAATATAATAAAAAAATGTTATGGCTCAATTATTTATCACTATTTTCAAACAAAAATTAAATTGTGTTGATGAAGTGTTAAAAATAAAACAACTTTTTACAAAAAAACTGTAAATTATCTGTAAATAATCATTTTTAAAGACACTGTTAATGAATTAAGTTATCACTATTTATCATACTATATTATATTCATATCATAATAATAAATATATAATTACAAATAAATTTTAAATCAAATAAATGTAAAACCATAAATACATATTCATATCATAATAATAAATATATAACTATAAATAAACTTTAAATCAAATAAATGTAAAACCATAAATACATTTCAAAACTTTATAAATTATATCACCAACACAAACTTAAAGATCAGACCACTAAGTATTGAGTTTCTTTCTTTTTCTGTCTTCAATGTTTAATGTAACAATATCAGATGTATCATCAAATACTCCCAAAAATGAAATATTCTCCTCTTAATAAAAGTAAACGAAAAATGCTGGTAGTAATAAGTCTTTTTTTTTATTGTCTTGAGAAATCTTTTTTTGTTTAAATGTCTTCGCAATAAACACAAAGCAAAAACACACGTGTGCTTTTGCTTTATGATTGACATTCAAATCTCAATGGCTATGTGAATACAACTAGCCCTCTTGAAGCCTGATGATCTCATATTAGCATTTTGATGCTAATATAGATCGGACTCACTCAGTAGTTTTTTTTATAGTTTTATACATTTTGTTGTTGGATCAAACTCAGTTGTTTTAAATTACCTTTCATTTCTTAAGAATACTTAACTTTCAATATATTAAAATTTTTTGTTCAAATGATAAGTTAACCAAAATAATAATGTGTATAAAATGGTTAGTTATACAAATAAGTTTATAAGTAGCTTCTTTATGTTATTTTAAAATTTGTGATTTTTGGTGGAATTACACTGTAAGTTTAAATCTTTTGTAAATTAAAATTTTTGTTTTGTTACTTGTATTTGTTTTGTTACTTGTATTTGTTTTGACGTTTTCTTTTTAATTATTCTTGTTTTGATTTATTATTATTTCAGATGAAGACATAAAAAATAAGTGGAATAGAATAATTTTAAAAAATGCTCAAGAACCTTTGCACCACTTTTGTTTCTGATTATTATTGATGCATGTGGGAATTATGTAACTTTCAAGCATTTTAACGGGTGATTACTAAAAATCTAGACAAAATTGCTTACATCATATTTCTATATGCAACTAATACTTATTTTTTCAAACAATTTTTAAAATGTTGCAAATTTATTCTTCTTTTGAAATATATATTAACTTTTATATAAGTATTTAAAATTTAGTATTGATATGACGTCACACAAAGAGCTCCATAGAAAACGTGTGTACCAGTTTTATCAAGAAAATTCAGATAAACCTAAATCATTCATTGTTTCTAATTTTGAAGCAGAAAACTTATCAAGATCGACTATATATGGAATTATTAAACGTGTAGAAGAAGATAAACCATTTGAAAGGCAAACTGGTAGTGGTAGAAAGCCGAAAATAATGACTAAGCGCGCCATCAGTCAACTGATGGCGCGCTTAGTCACTTATTTCTAAGACATTGAAAACCAAAAGATCAATAAAAAAATAAAACAAATGAAGATTCCAAGTCGAACTGAGTGCCAGAGAGCAAAAAACCGACGTTTGTGTGGTCAACTTTAAAAAAATTATAAAGATTTTATTTGGGTTCTTGATGACGAGTCTTATTTTACTCTCTCGAACAGCCAAATTAATGGTAATGATAATTTCTATTCAAGTAACATCAAATTAACACCAAACAATGTTAAATTCAAAGAAAAAAAGAAACTTGATGAAAAATTATTGGTTTACGTGGTCATTTCGCCTTTTGGCCTATCAACTCCATACATTGTACAGTCTGGAACTGCTATTAACCAGCATATTTATGTTGATGTATGTTTGACTAAAAAACTATTACCACACATCAAACAGCTTCCAAAAAATACCAAATACATATTCTGGCCTTTACAAGTGCCCATTACTCAAACAAAGCTGTTAAGTTTTTGAATGAAAATGGTATAAAGTTTGTAAAAAGTGAAAACCCTCATAAATATGCCTGAATGTCGTTGTATTGAGGATTTTTGGTCTTGTATCAAAGGAGATGTTTACAAAAGTGGTTGGCAGGCAGAGAATTTTGATCAATTACACTCTAGAATAATTTACTGTTTTAAGAAATTCGACAAAAAGCTGGTACAACACTTGGCAGAGTCTACTAGCAGAAGACTCGACACAAGAAGACAAAATCTTGTTGAATTAAGATAAACATTTTTATTAAAATTAGAATAAATTTGCTATTTTATTCTTCTTAAAACAATAAAAAAAGGTCTTCTAGATTAAAAGTTGTTTAATTTTTAGTTTTGTCCAGATTTTTGGTAATCACCCGTTATAAGGTAGCTTTTTTTACATTTTTTTATTATTTAGTTTTTATTAAAGATTTTATTTCTTTGTTGCATAAAGCTCTATCTTTATAAAATGATATTCGAATTTAATAAAATAACAAAATTTCTATTAGAAATTAATTAATGATTAAGTCTAAAATTTTTATTAGGGTTATCAGTAGAACTAGAATTTTGTTTTAATTTTGCATTATGTATGTAATTTATTAAGTGTTTAAAAAATTTATAACAGGTTGCTGAAATTGAAGTGTGAACATATATACGAATAACTACATTAAACCGAAGCCTAGTTTGCCACAAACGCAATTTAACATTGATTAAAAACGCAGTTTAGCTTTGATTTTAAACCATTATTTATAAATGTACATTTGTTGATATATGTCGAATACTTGTGTATTTTATATGAATATTGAAAAGACTGTAAAAAAATTTTAAAAAAATTTTGAAATTAAAAGTTTGTACATTGAAATTTTATTTTTATAAATATTTGATTAGTTTTTAATGTTAAATTGAATCGTTTTTGAAGCTTACAAATTGAGCAGTATAGGTCTCCGAGCCATGTTAATTTGTATAATTACTAATGCTTGTATCAGATAGATGTTAAATATTGTTACTTTTCTAATGTTAAGCACAAATTTTTTTTAATGTAAAATATTTTAATAAAATAATTCCTACCTTCAAAAATATAAGATTTGTTAAATCAAAGTTCTATTTTGCTTTATTTCAACAGATTGTTCGTTACACTAACGTAATAAAGCCCTAATTTTAACGGACGAATATCAACAAACTTCAATCTTAAAAAATGCAATCCGTTAATTTAAAAACGGAAAATCCGTTTGCGCAAAAAACGACGGATTGATCTGTTACCCAATCCGTTGTATTCAACAGATTTTGTTTTAGAGTGTACTTATTATGTTTTTGGTAGTATAATCCTATTTTAACTTTATCAATAATAATGGAAATCATATTATTTTTTCTTGCACAAATGCAAAGGGGACTACAGCTTAAATTTCGAAGTTTGTTTAATTTTTTTTGGAAATTTTACTCCTTTGCAGATTTGAGAGGAAAAGCAAATACAAAAAGATTTTTTACATTAAAAAAACAATAAAACAAACAACAAGCAAACAATAAAATTGGTTTAATATAATTATAAAAATCATTTGAAAATAGTAAAAAATCATAAATAATCGGTCCGACATAACAATCAACAAAAACGAAGCAATTAATTATCTTGGGATTTCTTTTGAAGTTGAGCGTATTGACTCAATCTAAATGATGAGCTTAACAAATAAAGTTTAAACAACTTTAAACAAAATAAACTTATACCTATTAATAGACAAACCTTAGAGAAGCTACTTTAATAAATCCTTCGGCATCTTTTGGGTTGAAATCTCCTTTCTTGTCCATACTATCAAACAATAAACTAATGATATTATAAATTATCACAACATATCGTTGGAAGGCAAATTTAAAAACTTGAATTTTTTAGCTTTATTATATTTTATTACTATTTATTAGTTTAAAAATTTTTACATTTTTTAATTTTATAGTCTAAGGTCTTATTATATTTGAACTGAATCTGATATTTTTCATCACAATAGCAGATTCTATTAAAGCTCACTTTTTACTACAAAATATATATTTTTTGTTTTATCTCAATAACCCCTCTAACTAATTGTACCTAAGTTTTTATCTCATTAACCCCCTCTAACTATTTATACTTAAGTTTTCATCTCATTAACCCCCTCTAACTATTTATTCCTAAATTTTTATCTCATTAACCCCTCTAATTATTTAATTTGAACTATTTAATTAGAACAAGAAAAAATTATATATATATTACCTCACTAATTCTTTGTTATAAAGAGAGTAGTCGGAGCATCTTGATTTCACATAAACCTTGATAAAACCAAAAAAAAAAATTTTTATTGATATAAAATTGAAAACCATAAGTTTGCCTACAACGTTATGGAATGCACGACATTTAATTAAACATTTTTATTTAACTTTAAACAAAACTAAAAACTTGATTTTTTAATTGCAATAAAAACTTGAGTGCACAACTATGTTAGCATCATTAAAAGCCAGATGGTTACAAAAAATTTAACTCAAATACATCATTAAAGGCTACTTAGTAGTCAATTTAATTCTGGATATTCCTTTTAAATATTTATAACCTTTTTTTATTGAACAAAAATAAATATCACACACGCTACTGATTAAAAGTTCATTTGGTTTATTTATAAACTCGTAACAACAGTTTTTAGCATTTATTTTTTCTTTAGGATGATCAAGAAATTCATATCATTACCTACTTACTCTTTGGATTCACCATCCTTTGTATGATCAAATTTTTATATCATCACCTATTTGTAAACATTAATACCACCATCTATTTTTAAACATTTTTATCATCGTCTATTTGTAAACATTCATATTACCATCTATTTGTAAACATAGTGCCTAACATCATGCCAACATTGAATAATAATTCTGTGGTTTAATAACTTACATTTTTTCCTTTTTTTTTGGTTTTTGTTTTTCCATAAAAGAGGATAATTGGAAAATTAAATTATCTGTTTTAAACAACATAACACTTATAGAATAACTGTTTATAATTGAAATAATTCAAAGGATATCATAACTGGAAAAAACTAACTGATTCACCACACTATCACGCCAGTAGACATTTACAGTTTCTATGTCACTGGGGCAATACTTTCTACTTCGATAAAAAAATTATTTTGGAACCTTTAAACAGCAAAATACCATTCCTTATATAAAAAAAAAATTCTAAATAAGTCATATTTCTTGTTTTAAGAAATAAATTTGCAACCATGAAATTTATTTCTTAAAACAAGAAATATATTTCTTGCTTTAAGAAATAAATTTCTTAAACTATGGATTTACGATTTTGCTGTGTATTCAAACTCATTCTTTACTTGTTTTGTTTTGTTTTCAATATATAAATATGATAACCATCTATAGCATGGTTATCATATGTACATATTGAAAATATGAAAAAAGCATAATAGTAAAAAAAACACACCGAACGCCACCTGACCTACACATACACATACCTACAGAACGCCACCTGACCTATACATAATTGACTAATTTTAAATAACTACCAATAATACTATATCATCTTCTCAATAGTTTTCTAGAACAATAATTTAATCTTTACATTGTCTGAGGGACAAAAATTTTCACTTATATAATGGTAGAAGATCTATTTGAAAGAAGAAATAACAGGGAGTTGTTTAACAACAGAATAAATCAGTGTAAAAAAGAAGAATCACCATGGCAGAGAAAGAAAAACCTAGTAGAGGGTCGGGATTTATTGAAAATGATCGATAAATTTTAAAGAAAAAAAATCTCAAAATTAAACAAGAACATGCTACTAAGAATGTATTTAAAAGGGGGATTCAAATCATCATCTTAAACAAAACAACAATGGACGCAGAAATATTCAAAATAAATTTTCATTAGTCAAGATTGCTATCATACTAACTCTAAATACTTTTAAAAAAAACAAAACAAAGAAACAGAAATAAAAAATTCAAACTAGACACAGACAAGGCGGAAGTAGAATAGTCTTTTAATGCTAGGCCAGATAAAAAAAAAATTAACCCCCTGAAATTCAAACCAAAAAGAATAAAAATTGAAAAGCAAAAAAAAAAAAAAAAAAACATTCACAAAAACTAAACGTGAAAATGAAAAAAATTACTCACACTTGGACCTCCAAAACAAGTTACATGCTATATATGATAATCCAAAACATTATTAAGTTACATGTTATATAAGTAATACAAAATAACGGTATTTACTTTTGGAACAAATTATTCTAATTCAGAATCTATTATAATAGTTAGAATTAAAAGAAACAATTATCTAGTCACTTGAAGTAAGAACATTTATTCCTATTGCATTTTTTTGGTCTGATGTGGCTAAGTTAATGTGTTATTGTTTACACTATACAGTCTTCAACTTAAAAAAACTGGTGTTTTTTTTAAGTTGTTATAAGTTCTTTAGTATATATTGAAGAACTTAAAACATATTTATCAATATATACTGAAGAACATTTATTTAACTTTTATTTATTTTATGTATTTGCAAATTTGTTAACTCACAAAGAAGTAATTTTTTATTTGGTTAGTCATTACTTACTGGATGTATTTAAAGTATGCTGACTCTAAATTAATGGGTAAACACGGAGAAATTCATTCATCTTTAAATTGAGATTTCTCTGAAACCACAAAAGCTTTTTAGTTCTTTTATTTTTTTATTTAAACATTGCTTCCTTATATTTAATTGTGTTGATAAACATTTGTTTACAAACCAATGATTTGCGAAATGTTTTGAAAACAAATTGACGTGCGTAAAAACAATGTGATTTTTTTTTTGCAAAAACTATCAACTTCATATTGCTTGATAGCTAAACAAATATTATAAACGTACAAATGTTCTAAAATCTACAATCATAGATATTATAAACGTACAAATGTTCTAAAATCTACAATCATAGATATTATAAACGTACAAATGTTCTAAAATCTACAATCATAGATATTATAAACGTACAAATGTTCTAAAATCTACAATCATAGATATTATAAACGTACAAATGTTCTAAAATCTACAATCATAGATATTATAAACGTACAAATGTTCTAAAATCTACAATCATAGATATTATAAACGTACAAATGTTCTAAAATCTACAATCATAGATATTATAAACGTACAAATGTTCTAAAATCTACAATCATAGATATTATAAATTAGTTTAAGACTACTCAAAGCTTCGAAAGAAAAACCTGGAAGTGGTAAAAAGAAAACCTTTCATAAATTTAAAAAGGTAAGGTCGATTCTCAGTTTAATAGCAATAAATTCAAACCAGCAAGATCTATCAAAAAAATTCAGGACTTCTTATATGAAAAATTCAAGACTTCTTAATGTTCTTATATGAAAAAAGTACTTAAAATGCTGGAATTAAAGCATTTTATAAAAAAAATTCACCTAAGAGAAGCTTAAATGGTGAACTAAAAGGAATTTAACGCGCAAAGAAGTTTGCTTAAGTAATGGCGGATAAATGTATGTGCATAATATAAGACGATGAAACATATTGCTGGTTAAAATTTTTACTATAAAAACAAAGATAAACCTGTCAATGATCTATTTAAATAAATACGGCAAAAAAATTGGCATCCAAGTTTCCTGTTTCACAAGCTATTTGTAGCTGCGATATGCAGTCCTCTTGTTTTATCACTAAAAAGACCTTGACTGCCAATTTCTACATCAAATAATACCTCCAACAAAGACTTGAACCTTTTATGAAAAAACACAAATACAGATGTCTCTTTTGGCTAGATCTTGCTGTTTCTCACTATTCTAAAAAAGTTCTAAAAAAATTCTAAAAAAAAGTGGTGCAAAGATAATAATGAGAAAATTGTTTCTAAAGATGCAAATCCTCCAAATCGTCATGAGGAGCAAAAGTTTCAAGATTTTTGACCAATAGTTAAAGGAGTTCTTCGTTAGACAGATGGAGTAACAAAAAATAAAAGACTTCCAAAAAAGTGGATTAATGCCACTAATAAGGTGAAAAATAAAAAAATCTGATGATGATGGCATCAACCTGCTATACAATTTGATTTCTTGGCAAACAGCCTATCAAGCCCCTTAAAATTTATTTGAAACTCTAACTAATGTAACCACATTTAATATAAGTAAAAAATTGAAATAAAAAGCATTTATGATTTTAGAGAAATCTCAAATTAAAGTTGACCGGATTTTTCCGTGTCCACCCGAAATCAGACGATTATAACCTCATACAGTTTTTCAAAAAGAATTATTTTCTCTCATCAAATGAGATCAATATTTTGAACACTGTTTGATCAATCTTAATCTATTTCACAATTTTGTACTTAACAAACAACTATTTTATCCCTTCCAGATCTTTACAACTCACTGTTTACTCATTTGTCATGAGACATTTTTAAACATTGTATGTATGTATCTGTTTATGTATGTGTAGATATCTATACATATTTATACATTTATGCATATACTGTCTACCCCAGGCAAACCCAATACTCATTCTCTTCTTTAAAAATGTTGTAGTTGTAGGTTTCTCTAAAAATGTTGGAATTGTACTAGGATTTAGAATATTTGGTTGGGATTGTACTAGGTTGAGGATTTAGAATGTTGTCATAATAAAGTCTAGTTTTATTGCAATATTAACTAGAGTGCAAGTAATGAGATTTGTTTACACCTCTGAAAAGAAGCATCAGTGCAGATCTTGGATTTCCTGAAACATCATTGATGATTGTAATGCATTCCTAAGCAAGAAGGGTAGAAATGTGGAAGTGATAAACTTTTTTTGAACTTATATTTAAGGCTAAGCGAGCTTAATCTATCACTATACCACTGTTGCATTAAAATGCAGAGCAGAACATGCATACAAAAAGTATAAAATGAATAAAATTTATCAAATAATTATATATTTTTTTCATAATAGAAATTTTTATAATATATTTATAATAAACTTACATGCCCTTTAAATAAAGCCAATCGAACAGTTCCTTCTACATATTTCTGGCTATTATCAATGCAAAACCTTAAAAACAATATACATACATATATAGGTATACATACATACATAGACATACATACATACATACATGCATACATACATACATACATACATATATATATATATATATATATATATATATATATATATATATATATATATATATATATATATATATATATATATATATATATATACACATACAAATAGTATTGTGTACTAAGGTAAGCAATCTGATGTCATACTGAAATAGCCTGCTGCTGGGGGCTTCAGTACATACATCGACTGACAAATAGCCTGATTCGCAGTGGAGTGCTGCTACATCGACTGATGGTTTGGGATGGGGCAGCAATCATTTCATTCATCATTCTTCGTTTTTACTTTTCTTTTTCTAAATAAGCCGTATGGGTTAAGGTAAGCAAAAAAAGTGAGCAAATGCTTCTAAAAATACGTTTTAGTAAATCTGTATATATATATATATATATATATATATATATATATATATATATATATATATATATATATATATATATATATATATATATATATATTATATACAGGCCTTGTTTTAAAGCGTTACGCCTAGAGCGATTTACGTACGCCTTAAGCGCTTTTTACGTACGCGTAGAGCTGTTTTGGTTAAGCTACTTTTTATCATTTTTTAACTTTTAAATTAGCGGTAACATAAAAGAAGTAATTAATTTTCAAAAAAACCACATTAACTTTTAAATAACGATATGTAAAGATATTTATTAAAAAAAAGAATTTACTTTAAAAATAATTGTTGTAACTTTTCATCGCGATATATCTTTCCTTTTTATAGCAATTAATTTGACGCTAAACTTTTTATCCAAATATTTCGCAACATGAAAAATTGTTTGTCAATCCTTAACTACAAACTTTTTGCAATGTTTTTAATAAAAAACTTTTAAAAAATCTATATTCCATATTTATTAATACAGAATATAAAAGTTTTTTGTAATATAGATTTTTTATGAATTTTTTACTGAATTTATAATAAAAAACATTTGCAAAAAAATTTGTCATTAAGAATTGACATTTTTTTTTATTAAATCTCAAAAAATGTCTTAATATTTTTGTTATCATGATAACAAAAATATCAAGACATTTTTTCGAGATGTTAAAAAAAATGTCTTTGCTTTTCTTATTAGTTAAAGGTATATAGTTTAAGTTATGCGGAGGGAGGGGGTCGGCACAGAAAAAAAAAATTACCTGTTACTCGCAATATTTGAATGAAGACAATTTGTTAAAATTCTTCTGCGTGCGATTCAATAAGTTTTTTTTTTCATAAATCAAGTTATATAACAAGGTAAAGAAATCATGAGTAGACTACAACATCCGCTGATGACACTAATATTACGTTGAATATATTTATATAACGGAGGTTTTATTATGCACACGCACATTACAGGTTCCGTTAAATAAATACTAAGGCACGTTTTAGTTTAATGAGTCTCCATTTTTTACTAATGAATACGTATTTTTCTTTATAAAACAAAACAAACTAGTATATAAAAACCTTGTATAATTCTATTATCTCTAAATTGTTTAAAGTTCGAATATGGATTGTATTTTGAAGGACAAAAGATTTACTTTAAAAACTTTTAAATCTTGGGACTTTGCCGATGCTTTGCCGATGCGATGATCACAGAAAAAGAGAAGACTTACGTTATTAAAATCAAATGTAAGTTATGTGATCTTCATCAAAATAAAATAATATCCAAAAGCAATAGTGCCGTATGGGCAACTGCCCAACGGTTTATAAATAATACAAGTCATGTTAAAATATTTTAACATGTTACTATATTTTAATTAAGTTGATATATAATTAAAAATAAAAATATTGTTCAATAAATAAATTAAATTTATTCTTAACAAAGATTACCTCATATTTATTATTTTTTTTTTTTATTAAGTTAAATTGCTTACAAACAAAAAAAAAAAAAAGAGTTTTGTAATTATACGTAGAATGAAAATACTTTTGAGTTTGTTTATAAGTTAAGGAACTTAATTTTTAATAAACAAATTTTTACGAAAGTTTATTATAAACAGATACGATTCAAATTATTAAATATACTTAAATTATTTCAGTTGATTTTTTTTATAAGTTTGCACGATTAAAGTTTGGCGTAATAGTATTTGTTTTTTTGTTTTAAGAATAATTAACAAAAGAGTTTGCATAATTAAGTCTTTTATATTTAATTTAATTTTTTTTTTAATTTCCTAAAATTAAAAAAAAAAAAGATTTAATCGTTGAAAACGATTTTTCTCTATAGCTCTGTTTCTTTGTGATTTGTTTAAAAAGTTAAATATTTTTACATTAACATAAAAAATTTATGAATTAAATTCCTAGCGATTGCGTTCTAAACTACGTATCAAAATGCTCAAAGCAGACTAAACTTTTTTATATTTTTATAAAACGCAAGTTGAAACGCTTTTAAAAATTTTAAAAATATTTAAAAACTTAAATTTTTCTTTGCTAGTCAAAACAAAATCGTTGTTTAAATAATTAACATGGGTTTGTGTTTATCAATGTTAATATTTTTTGTTTACTCTAGAAATTTTTAAAAATAAAAAAAATCATTATTATTTTTTATTCAAATACGATTAAAAACAATTATTCAAAAACAAATTTCAGAAATAATTTATATATATATATATATATATATATATATATATATATATATATTTTACTAAATAATATTGAACTAAAATTAATAATAAAATAACAATTGAAAACATTACAAAATTCTCATAATAAATTTATATTTAAAACGTTTATAGTTTATATTTGAGTTAATTGTTAAATTGAACTAGTTTGCGGTTATTTATTTATTGCGGTAGTTAAAACACTTAACTTCTATAAAAAAAAATAAAGATAATTTTATGACGCCAAAATCGCGTTAAGCTAATGCATTAAGCACTTTTTTATTTAAAACAAGGCCTGATATATATATATATATATATATTTGTTATTTTTTTGGCTTTTCTTAGGTAGGGTTATTGCTGTTTACTTTGTTTATGTTTGTTTACATTATTTATGTGTAATTTAACTTCCTGCCAATCATTTTTTTTTATAATTTATATACTTTAAAAAAATATTTTCAAATTCATAAAAGCTATGGTAAATTTTAATTTTATTATTAAATTAAAAACTTTCAGTTGATTTGAAGCAAAATTATATAAAAATTTCAAAAATAAAATTTATTTCAAAATAAAATTGTTATTTTTGTTTTTACTACATCTAAAATTGCATTTTTTAACAAAAAATTAAAAAAATGCATTGTTTATGTTTTTTTATGATAATTTTGATAAGTTAAATTTTTTTGAAATGAATATTATTTTTGAAACTTTTATATAATTTTGCTTCATTTGAGTACCAGGTTGACATATTTTTGAAAAACCATTTTTTTGAAATTATTAGGGACCCTTTAAATATTCAAAGGTCTTGGTGGACCCTTTAAAACATTTTTTATTAAAAAAAAATGTAAACCTAGTGTTTTTGTATTAGATAGAACACATTTAGGGGGTGGGAGCAAGTTTTTCTCAAAAAAGTGGTTTTAAGAGCCACCCTACATCTGCTTTAATAGAATATATAACACTTTTAGCAGCCCACATTTCACACAATCTCATATCTGCATTATTAGATAACAACAAACCAGCCTGACAATCTAAAGTCTTACATTCTTTTATTGATAACTTATACATTTTTAACACTATATATAACGTAACATACAAATCAGGAGGCACTACGTTTTCTATAGTTTTTATTGGAGATATTACAGAAGAAATAATTGAATGATGAAACTTACCTAGAGTTCTTAGGTTTCCACTATGTTCATCTTTTTTTTTTTTTAAACATCTTCACTTCCAACAAGGCTGCAAGCAACCACTTATTAGTGTTGGAAGTTACTGGAAGAGAAAAGATGAAGATTGTAGAGCAAGATAACGATTGACAGACGACTTAAAAGATTGCAAATTATATGAATCAGGAAACCAAGATGAAGGAAGCGAATTCCTAAGAACTGATGTTCGAGGAAAAAAACTAGACGAATAAGAGTTTTTGGAGCACTTAGGAACAGTAACAGAAAAAGGATGAGACTTAATTGAATGATGAGTAACACGAGAATGAATTTTAGTAGATGGTACAAAAGATGCTAGCTTTTTAGAGCAGTGTCTATTATAGCATTTGTAGAAAGAAGAAAGAGAAGCAATATTATAACAATGGTTAGAGGTTGACTGCAAGAGCAGTTTCAACTATGTTTACAATGCGTTTTTGCACCTTGTCTAAAAGAGGAAGGGCATCATTAGAAGATGCGCCCCAGATATGGCAACAGTATTCCATACAAGGCCGGATTTGAGATTTATAGAGATAGAGAATAGAACCTAGAGTAAGAAAGTGTCGAGCTGGATAAAGAGATGCAACTTTAGCAGATGCTAATTTTGCAATGGATTTGATATAAGGTTTCCAAGAAAGATCAGAAGTAAGAGTTAATCCTATAAGATGAAGGGTAGATGACTCATCGAGTACATTACTGTTCATAAATATAGGAAGGTCTAAATTATTGCGATAACGATTGGATGAAAAAAATTGAGTTTTATCTGAATTAAAGTTCACCAGCTACTGTGAGCTTCATGCTGTAGCAGAAGTGAGATCCTTTTCAAGCTTAAATGCCCCCTGCAAGCAAGCAGTGGAAGTTGGCTTCTTATTGTGACAAGAATAAATGGTAGTATCATCAGCAAACAATGCCACCTTAGATGTGAGAATATCTGGAAGATCGTTAATGTAAATTAAAAAGAGTATAGGGCCAATGATTGAACCTTGAGGAACCTCTGAGGTTACAGAATAAGAAGAAGAGTGCTGTCCATCAAGGACAACTTTTATACTACGATTGGAAAGGAAGGATTCAATAATCTTAAAGATGTTTCCAGATACACCATAAGAAGAAAGCTTACAAAGAAGACCAGCATGCCAAAGTTTATCAAACGCTTTAGAAATGTCAAGAGTAATGGCCTTACCTTACCACCTTTACCTAATGCGTGATAAAACCTATCGGTTATTACTGTTGGCAAATCAGTGATCAGAGATCTTCAACCAAGTTTGCATTGTAAGCCCCTTCCATAAATTGTAAAGCATAGAGGAATAGCTTTTTTAGAGATTCTGACTCAGCTAGGTCTGTAGAAGTAGGTTATGTTAGTAGTAGTTACGTAGAAGTAGGTTACATAAAGTTGTTGAAACCTGATGTCCAAGAACATTATTAATTAAATAAAAATCACCACCTAAGAACAACTTAATTTTTTTTTTGCCATTCAATTTAAAATCTGAAGACTGAATGCTTTTAATGTTGCTGGCATAATACCAAAAAAATAAAGGTAATAACTTCACAACAATCTAAACTCTGGAACATGAAATGAATGAACATTATACATAGATCCAGATGATTTAGAATTGGCAACTTGAAAATGGAAGTTTGTATACTTTCAGCAAAAAAGTGCTATACCTCTTTGCCAAAAACCAACAATAGAGTGGAGAAGGTCACAGGTTTGTCAAAAACCTCCTAATAAAAGATAGAACTTGTCAAACTCTTAAATTCATCTTCCCAAACATCTTTCTATCCAATGAATAGTTTAAAAATTTCCCTCTCACTTAAAAACATAAAAAATTGATGACGTAACAATAATACAAACAAGATTATTTATTGACGAATAGATGCATTTGGTAAAAGAAGATCTAGCAACTTATTTGATTATTTGAAGAGAAAAGATCAGCATAACTTTGTTTATTTATTAATTCATAATTTGCCGAAACAGTTATTTCATTATAATTCCTCAGATAATAGCTTTGGACATTACGCATATTATCACTTTAAAATCTAAACACCAATTTACTCATAAAACTAAAAAAATTGTTGGAAAACAAGTTTGAAAACATATTGCCTAACATAACTAGAAGTACATAAAATATTTTAATAATTTTAATATGCATAAAAGGTTGAAATTTTAATAATTTATGTCACCCATCAAAAATAACTTGTTTTGCATTTAAAAAGGATAATTTCTATAATACACATGCATTAAAAACAGATTTTTTTTGAAAACAAACAAACACAAAGATGACACAAGATTCAAATAGTTTTAGACATTCATGGATATGCCTTTACTCAAGCCTCTAACCTCTAGCCTTTACTCAACCAAGAGCCCCAAGGCAGGGGATGTTTAGCTGGATGCAGTTAACATCTGCCCAAGATGAGTGTTTTTATCGAGACACCATCTCTAGCCTTAACTCAACCAAGAGCCCCAAGGCAGGGAAATTTTTAGTCGGAGTTTATTTCTCCTAGCATTTGCCTAAGAAGAGCACACTCTGCAAGGCAGCAGGGCTGCCACAAGCATGTTAACATCTTGGATGCAGTTAACATCTTGTGCATGATGCATACACAAGATGTTAACTGCACCCAGCTAAACATCCCCTGCCTTGGGGCTCTTGGTTGAGTAAAGGCTAGAGATGGTGTCTCGATAAAAATACTCATCTTGGGCAGATGTTAACTGCATCCAGCTACTGTCTTGTAGAAGGTCTCCTAGTCAAAGACTTTAGGGGTGAGCAGAAGAATTCTGCTAACCAGCCTCGAACCCCTTCTTCATCTATTAGGCTGGTGTAGATGTAACCTGTGTTACATTGTTTCCTGCCTAGGATGATAAATGCTGGATCTCCTTGACTCTACTCATAGAATTTTGCTTATGCCTCCTTGATAATGGCTATCCAACTCTTCCTGTTATCTCCATATGAGGGTACAGCTCTAAAACTCAGTTTAATGGTTCTGAGGCTGGCTGGTAGTAAGGTTTCCTGAACTCTGTGGTAGCTCTCATCTTTTACATATACTCGATGTCTGCGAAGCAACTTTCCGTCAGTTGAGTCTTACCACCTGCAAAATTCACCAGACTTGCTTGCACTCAGTGAAACAAATTTAAATTCAATTCCTTCTTCAGATGTCAGTGTTGATGGGTACTATCCTTTGATTCGTAAAGACTCTAATAGTCACATGCTATATTTAGGGGTATACATACGCATTAATTCCCCTATTTGTCGTGAAATCAGGTTCAAATCCTTTGACCATTCTTTTATGTACTTTCGCCTAGCACATCTTCACTCTATCACCTTTGTCTTTGTTCTTTATCGTTCTCCTTCTTCCCATGATTGCACTCTTTTAGATGTTATCTCTGATCAAATTGACCATGCCCTCTCTCTTTACCCCTCTGCCAATATTGCTGTTGTTGGTGATTTTAATGCCCATCACACTGAATGGCTTGGCTCTAACACCACTGATCCTGCTGGCACTAAAGCCTTTAACTTCTGCGCTTCTCAATCTCTTACTCAGATAATTAACTTTGTGACTCGTTTTCCTGACAACCCTAATCATTTACCTTCACTCCTTGATTTATGTCTTGTCTCTGACCTAGCTTATGTTCAGTTTCTCCCTTTTCTCCCTTAGGTGGTTCTGACCATGCAATAATCTCTATAAATCTTTCTTCTCATCTTTTTTTTTTGGGCTCACCTTATCATCGCACTACCTACTACTACCCTAAAGCTGACTGGGATTCTTTTTGTGATTTTCTTCGTGATGGTCCTTGGGCTGATGTTTTTTCTCTCTCAGCTGATAAATGCGCCTCCTATGTAACCTCCTGGATTCAGGCTGGAATATAAGCTTTTATTCCTTCTCGTCGGTTTCAAGTCAAGCCTCATTCTACTCCATGGTTTTAGATAACCTTGCACTTTAGGCAAATAATGTGACGAAGCTAGTTCAGGCCAAAAGACAATATTGTCATTTTTATGATGTTTTTCAATGAGTTTCTCTAATCTAACAAGATATTTTGAAATATACACATCTTCATTGACTGATTGGCCTGACGAAGCAATGTACTGCTGAGAGATTCCTTTCGCCATAAAAGCAATCCAAATAAGTAATTTTGGCTCAAATTTGTCTTTTCTTTTTAACTTTACATCATTTGATGCTGTATTTATGTCAGAAGAATAGAATCCAGCATTTCCGGAAATATTGGTGTTGTTCAAATAAAAATACGATTCATCATTAATAGTAACTACTTTTTTCCTAAAAATCAAAACCAAAATACAGCACTTTGAACGAACAGCTGCTTTTTGAGGCGGTGTTTTTTTTAGGTGTTTTAGTTTTTTTAAGATAACGAATACTAGTTTTTTTTGTGAATAATTTTGCATATGTACGGTTGTGATACATGGAATCGTTTTGCAAGACCATGCTGCGAAATACCGTCCTTTTGATCAATCAATTTTTTAAGATGCTTTATTTCTTTTGCAGACATCTTTTTTGCTTTGCGACCACTTCTAACTTTTCTTTCTTGTCCTATATTATTCTCCTTTCTTTGAAGTATATTATTAATAGTAGATTTTGGTATGTTCTCCATTCGAAAATGATTTACAATAAAGCTTTTATTCTTATCTGGATACAAATCCAAAATGTGTACACTCGTTTTCTAAGGGAGCCTTCGTTACAAGTATTTTTTTTCATTTTTAATTATTACTAAATAAATTTTTTTTTAATAATAAATTTAAAGAATTAAGTTTGTAACAAAATAGAAGTGATTGCAAGTATATTAAATTATTCCTTTATATTTTAATATTTACTCAAACTTTGTCCAGATTTTTAGTTATCACATGTTATTTTAACATTTTTGTTTGATTCCATCTAATGTGAATATTTATTTAATAAAGAAAGATAGATCTTTTATAACTTTTTTATTTGGAGATAAAAGTGCTTATAGAAAAAAATGTTATTATTTTAAAGTTAATGAATTTATAAAATCGTGACATAATGCCCATTTTTACATTGTGCGAAACATCCCTATAGTAAAGGCAAGGAATCAAATTAATTAAGTGGTGATAAAAATAAAATTTTTACAAAAATCTCAATTAAACACAACTTACCTAGTAAAATCACATTCAGGACTAAACCATAAACCTAAGATAAAACAATTTTCATTTTCTAAATAATAATACTGAAAAATCTAATCTAATTCTAAAAAAATAATTTAATTCTGGTCAATTACCCACTTGCACTTTTCTATTAAAATACAAAATCAAAATATATAACTACTAATATAATATGGGTATGGTAGTTTTAAAACAGACCTATCATTTATATACTCAATTTTTATAGTCTATTTAATGATCTTGTTTATAAAAAACAACAAGCATATAAACTGCTAGTAAAGAGAATATAGTTGGTCAGTTCATAATACATGATGCTAAAGTTATTGAAAACAATTTAATTTTTTTTTTTTTTTATTGGACAACTGAGAAAAACAAGAGGAAAGTTAGAGAAACAACTTGAAATACTTAAAACAAGAAAAACATTAAGACACACATAAAGATTTCTTAAATATGCTTTTTTTTATCTTTAAAACCTTATATTTTCTCTCTTCATTAACTATCACATTTTTAGCTGGTTGTATATACCATCCACCTCTCAGTAATGACTGTAAACCAGATTATAGATAAAGCCTTTATAAATTTTGCATCTAAATTAATAGAAAATAAACACTTCTCAGGTCTTCTAATCACAGAAGACTTTAACCTTGACAGTACCGCATGGTCTAATTATACTGCATCTACCACAAATGTACAAGATGAAGATTTAATTAAGACATTTGATTCCAACTATTTAATGCAAAATGTTGATTTTAATACTTTTCAACTGAACTCTATACTAGACCCAGATTTAAAACTCTATACTAGGCGCCCAATTCTCTGGATCTTATATTAACTCCATTTTCACAATTTTCTCTTGAAAGACAACTTGGTAACAACTTGGCTGCACCAAAAAAGGACAAGCTCATTCAAGTCTAACTTGGAATTACGCTTAGAATCTTCAAGCCCTTCTAGAAATCTGTTTCCTCATCTTAACAAATTTTTAAAATGATAACTACGAAAAAATAAATGCAAAAATATTAACTGAGTTAATTGTTTTAGAAATTTAAATATTGATAAATGTTATGAAAAATTGAAATCTATCTATATTGAGGGATGTAATCTTTAAATTGCTAAAATTAAATCACATTTTTCAGTTTTTAACAAATCTCAGATCAAAAGAGAAGTTATCTCTGTAATAAAAAATAAAATAAACTTTATTATAGAAGTCCAAAGTCCAAAGCTTTAGACACTAAAAAACACAATATGTGCTGCAAAAGTAAAAAAAGACTCTGTTACTGAATATAAAAAAACTATATCAGATAAAGCCAAGACAAATCCAAAACTTGTAATACTGTAAGTTATTAGATTCAAGATGAGAAATTAAGTGTTTGTTAATTAAAGATTCAAAAACCTTGCTTATGATAGGAAGAATGGGATGGTTGTTAGATGAGTCAGATCGCTCTCCAGAATTTTCAAAAATAGGGATAACAGGTGCTGCTTTCCAGATGACTGAAAAACAAGACTCTGATAAGATCTTGTTAAATAGTTTTGAAAGTATAGACGACACCACCAGAGAACACTTCTGCAAGATAATATATATGGTCCTATAACAGGTATGTTATCCGGACCTCAAGCTGTAGAAGAGTCTGAGCAGGAAGTCACTTTAGATATAGAAGCTGGAGTGATACAAACGTCAAGCAATCGATCAACCTGTTTGACGGCTATATCAAATAGAACGCAACTAGTGTAATCAAGAGATAATATTGATAAAAAGTTCTAAGCAAACAATTCAGGTTTGTCTTTAGGTGAGGTGACAAAGTCTGAACCATACAAGAGAGGTGGAATAACAGATTTGCCCTTATTATTGATACTGTTAAAGATTCTCTATAAGTCACAAGAGCCTAAGTTTTTGATGAAATAGAAGATTTCATGACTTGAGAATAGCGGGCTGGAAATTGCAGCAGCACAATGTGAGGAAAACCATGGAGAAGAGTGAGGCTCAACCTGGAATCGTCAAGAGGAAATAGAAAATTCTATGCCAGCCTGAATCCACGAAGTTGTGTAAGAAGCACATTTGTCAGTAGGAAGATAAAAGATTTCTACCCAAGAGCCATCGCAAAGAAAATCACAGAAAGAGTCCCAGTCAACTTTAAGCTAGTTTTAAGAGGTACCATGATAGGGAGGTTCTGATGATGAAGAAAAATGAGATAATAGTTTTAGATAAATCAAACCATGATCAGAAGCACCTAAGGGTGAATGTGGAGAAACTGAGCACTGACTAGGATCAGAAACAAGGCATAAGTAGAGTAGAGAAGGTAAATGATTCCAGTTGTGTGGAAAGTGAGTTGGAAAGTTGACTAGTTGAGTTAGAGATTGAGAAATGCAAAAGTTGTGAGTTTTAATGCCTGCAGAGTCACCAACACTAGACCCAAACCATTCAGTATGATGAACATTGAAGTTACCAACAACAACGATATTGGCTGATGGATAAAAAGAGAGGGTCAATTTGATCAGAAATAACATTGAAAAGAGTGCAGTCTTGAGATGAAGGAGAGCGATATACAACAAAGAGAAAGGCAATAGAGTGTAGTGGTGCTAAACGAAAGCACATTAAAGAATATTCGATGGGTTCAAATCTAGTTTCCCAACAAATTGGTGAATTTTTATGAATGTAGATGCCCAGGCCAAGCATATGACTATTAGAGTCTTTAAAAATTAAAGGAAGATAACCATCAACACTAAGATCACAAGATGAGACAGCTGAACTCAAATTAGTCTCACAAAGAGCAAATAGGTCTGGTGCAAAAATAAGACTTAACAGAAGTAAAGTTACTTTGAAGACCACAAATGTTAGTGAATGATAGGTTTAGAGAACTTGGTGATGACAATGGTTTTTTGTGTTTTATAGCTTTTGGTACTTTAGTCATTTTTAAATTTGTTAAAGAACTTGACTCAAAGCATAGATAGTACTCAGTACACTATTTAATGGCCCAAGCAATTGCTTCATTACTATTAATAAACTCTAAGCTGTAACAAAGGGCTCCTAATGTAGCCTTGACAATGCACATAAAAAGTACGAACAGGGACACCATCCGTGCGCAACATGGCACTGTTAATACCCTGATATTTTTCAGCTGTTGATGGAATCAGCCTCTCTGAGAGCTACCGCAGAGTTCAGGAAACCTGACTACCAGCCGGCCTCAGAACCATAAAACTAAATTTTAGATCAGTACCCTCAATGTGAGATAATAGAATGAGTGTTCTAGTCATAAAAACAGAGACACTAGCAAAACATATGCATTGAGTCAAGAAGATCCAGCATTTAACATCCTAAACTGGAAAAAATGTATTAAAAATACATCTGTGCCATGACATTATGATGAGATTAATAAGAAAAATAAAGATCTATTTATGGCATACCTGGATACACAAAGGAAAAACCTGAGAGATAAAAGAACATCCAATAGAAAAAAAGCAAAGGAATTTTTACCAATTTGCTAAAAGCTTCACTAGGGAATGCAAAATGACTAAAATCAAAAGATAAAAATATTATTAAAATACTTAAATGTGCCTGAATTTACATCGGAAATTAAATTATGGCAGCGCAAATGTATAAGGATAAAGGATGAGGAGGAACCACATCACTGCCTACTGATCTTTCTTTTGTTTTAGAATTGTGTGATTGAAATGATTCAAGTAAATAGAAGGCAAAGAGTTTTCATGACAAGATTATCTAAGTTTATAATTTTATTGGTATTAAAATTTTGAATTTAATTTCATTTTCTTCTGGTTTTCTTCATTTCTTTGGTAAAACAAGTTTTATTATTATTTAAAATTAATTCAACATTTACGTCTTTAAACATAATAAATTCAACATTTACAATGTCTTTAAACATAATAAATTCAACATTTACTGCATCTTTAAACATTATAAATTCAACATTTACTACATCTTTAAACATAATAAATGACATGACTATTGATTCTTAATTCTCATGATTTTAATGTAACATAATTTATCGACTTGCAATTTATGTCAGTCTACTAACTTAACTAGCCATAATCAATTCTTTGAGATATAACTTTTTATAAAACTAGCCAATAATTGATCAACCTTATTTTAAGTAGGGATGTACCAAAGCCTAAAATTTACCAAAGCTTACTTTAGCTGTATAAATACTGTGTAAATATAAAAGCTTCTGCCGAAGCTTTTATATTTACACAGCTAAAGTCTGCAAGATTGCAAGATAGCAATCTTGCGCATCTAACTAACTATATTACTAATTTTTAACAAACAATATTCCTACCCAGTCCACATTTGGTCCTTAAAAGATGCCCATTAACACTCAATTAACTAGAATTAACTACATTAACTTTGACTCATCAGTTCTTATAACTTATATTTATATATTGAATATTCTAACTTGAACTTTGAATCCTTTGAACTTAACATTTGGGCACTGATCACTAAAGTTTGAAATTAGATTTTGAACTTTAAATTATATACAAAACTCTTTGCTAATTAATAAAAGTGTTTAGTAAATACTACTTAGTGAATGAATAAATGCATGGATTCTGGAACTTGATTCCCTTCATCTCATGAATTTAATCAAACCTAAAATACTATAAAATACATTATACTATACATTAACTATACATTAATTTGAATTTTAAAGTATAGTTGCATGTAAAGTGCATCATGGTTATCAATACAAAGTTTATTATTACAAGTGTTTTAATGACCACATTAAATTTTATAAAACCTTATTTTCCATATTTATTTTTTTTTACTGGTCAACCTTGATTAGCAAGAATCCATTTTTTGAGGTCAAAAAATAAAATCTTGTTTTTGCTCTTTATTTTCTACGCATTTAATCTCTTTAAACTTATAACAATATTGCATTTAATCTCTTTAAACTTATAACAATATTGCATTTAATCTCTTTAAACAATGTTAATATAACAATATTGCATTTAATCTCTTTAAACTAAGGCATTAAATTTAATATACAATATACCATTTGCTTAAACTTGCTGTTTTTAATTGTTGTGGAAAAGCCATTCAACAGTTGCAAAATAAATTTGTTTTACAATGGAAACTAGTGTAAGTTATGCATTATATAACATAAATTCATTATATAACATCAGTTATATAATCAATTTACAATTTACAAGTTACAAAACAATTGTTGTTGAAATAGAAACAAATTGGTTCCCATGTTCCTTCAAAAGTTGCTTTACAACAAAATTGCACAACTATTTTACATATTTCTACAATTATTGAAAAGCAAGCTTATGTAATTTTAATTACCAAAAAATAATTTGCTAAAGCTGATTCAACAAATATTACCCCTAGCTTCAACCGAAGCCTGAATTTTCAGTACATATCTTATTTCAAGCACTGTTAGTAATCAAGCGTCAGTTTTTTTTTAAGGAAAAATCAACTAAAATATACGACTATTCAAAAGTCTTAAACAAAAAAAAAGATATTACCATTATAAATTTGCTCAGAAAACTGATTGCTAAGGTAAGATTTCAACTTTCTCAATTCCTACACAAAATTCAATAAAGCATCAATAAAGAACTTCAATTTATATGTATATATTTATATATTTTTTAAACTAATATATATATATATATATATATATATATATATATATATATATATATTAGTATATATATATTAGTATATATATATATTAGTATATATATATATATATATATATATATATATATATATATATATATATATATATACTAATATATATATATATACTAATATATATATATATATATATATATATATATATATATATATATATATATATATATATATATATATATATATATATATATATATATATATATATATATATATATATATATATATATATATTAAATTTTTTTCAAATGAATAACAACATTATTAATAGTTTAACTTTAAGTAATACTTAAAGTTTTGTGCCATACACAGCATTCATCAGCTATTAACTACATAAATTTCTCATGAAGGCAGAGGTCACAAATTTTGGATGTTGTTTTAATAAACACTGATTGTTTAATGGGCAAGCAGTCTTTGTAATGCAGTTGCAAGTTCTTGTATTCAAATTTGTACCACTGTGTAAAATTTTGTGGTTATGTGAACTAATTATAGACTTTATGCTTTGTATACAGCTATAACTAACTTTGATTGAATTTCTGTTAAATATTTTGTGAAATTTATGGTTTACTGGAAAGTGCAGGTCAATTAATGCAAGTAAACTACTTCCTTTTTTTGTTTCCACATTCTGACTAAATGGTGGGTTGTACCTTATGACTTTTTGCTTTCAATTTTTGTTTTTAGTCAAGGGTTGGTATTTCAGTTTACAATTATAGCCACACTTTTTAAAGTTTCTTTTTAAGGTGGGATAGCATTATAAAAACAGATTCATTTTTTGATGTGGCAGATAATTTCAATTCAACAGTGCGAGGGAGTCTTTTGATAATACAAGGTGGGTGGTTTGAATCAGAGTGAACATAATTCAGCTGATTGTCGCATTTAACATATGGTTGAAAAGAATTGTTGCATTTAACATATGGTTGAAAAGAATTGTTTCAATTCAACAGTGCGAGGGAGTCTTTTGATAATACAAGGTGGGTGGTTTGAATCAGAGTGAACATAATTCAGCTGATTGTCGCATTTAACATATGGTTGAAAAGAATTGTCACATTTAACATATGGTTGAAAAGAATTGTTATTGAGGTTGAATGTCATGTTAACTATTTTCTTATTGCATTGGATGGAAATAAGAAGATCGTTACTTTTAAAAATTTTTACAAAATACATTTTCATTTTCTGGCCATTTTTGTTTTTAAATATTGCTAGCTCGTCATCACGATATAGACCAAAATCATCTCTATTATAATACTGCGAAAGTTGAAATAAAAGAAAAATTTCTACTAACTCACATACTTCAGCACCATCGTAAGTGCCCATTGTAACATCAAAGAAACCACTACTTTTCTCAATCCACGCATCTTCGTTGTTAAAAAGTAAAGATTTTCTTGTGTGTCTTGTTAATGTTTTGTATTCAGTATTTATTATTAGGTGTTTTTTGGCAAAATTGATTGCATTGTTAAGCATTTTTTCACTTATTAAAGGATAAAAATCATTGATGTCAAAAACTAAAAATTTGTGAAGATGTTTATGCTTAATTTTCAAAAACCAATCAGTGACATTTAAAGTGCTTTGCTATTGGTTAATAAATAACTTACTTTAGAGTGCATTGTTAATTTTTGATAAAACAGTTTTGCTTATTCATCCTATCTCATTTTTTGCTGGATTCAAAAGTCGTACTGTAGGGTTATTGGCAAAATTTTCTTTTTGACCTTTTAAAGTAAAAAAACATTCAGAAGACCCGCTTATCTTGATTTTATCATAAACATCATGGTTTTGCAAAACATACTTGCCCTCTTTATATATATATATATATATATATATATATATATATATATATATATATATATATATATATATATATATATATATATATATATATATATATATATATATATATATATATATATATATATATATATATATATATATATATATATATATATGAAACTAATAACAAGGCTGCAAGCAACCATTATTCAAGTTAAGAGTTACCAGAAAACAAAAAGTATTGTTAAAGAGCAAGAAAAACGTTGACAAAAGACTAAAAAAACAGTAAATTATGAATCAGGAAAGTATTAAGATGAGAGAGAGAGAGAGAGAGAGAGAGAGAGAGTTCCATAGTATTGATATGAGAGAAATAAAACTTGATGAATGAAATTTTTTGGAACATAAAGTGACAGTTACAGTAAAAGGATACAACTTTGCTGAATGATGAGTCAAGTGAAAATGAGTTTTGGTTGATGGAACTAGAGATGATTTGTAGAAAAAAGAAAGAGAAGCAACCTTATGGTAATAAATGAGCAGCCGTGGCGCAGTGGTTAGAGTTCTGGCTCAGAACCCAGAGGTTCGAGGTTCGATGCCAGCTCTAGCCCAACAAGCAACATTGGTACGAAAGGAGGTGTGAACTTCTTGTTAAATGCTCTACCGCGGTGCTCTATGATAAGACCGTAAGGACTTCTGGGAGCACCTAAATACATACAAAAAAATAAATAAGATAATGGCTCAATCTTGGCAGACAGAGGAGGTCCAACAACATTTACAATATACTTTTGGATCTTGTCTAGAGGAAAAAGGGCATCATTAGAAGTACCAGCTGAAATATGACAACAGCATTCAACAGTAAAGGGACAAAGAGATTTGTAGAGGTAGTAATTGAATCAAGAGTATGATAATTGTGCCTGATGTTGGTTATTGCTTTTTAATAGCACACACAACAGACTCAAAGCAGTTTTCTTCAATTTGATCTTAAATTGGTTTTGTAAGATAAGGGATTCTACAATAAGCTAACTTGTCTTAAGATCTAGATTGCTTGTGAAAGCATCTCACAAATGCTATTTACTTTCACTGAATTTAGCCAGATACTGCAGGCAAGACTGCACACTTTACTTTTATAAGCTGATGTCAAGAAAAGAAATGGCATGCACGATAAAGAGAAACAACTTTAGTAGATGCTAACTTTGCAATGGATTGTGTATATGATTTCCATTAGAGGGCAGAAGTGAATGACAATCTGAGAACACCTCGCTGCAATCTTAATGCACAATTTTCAGTTAACAAGTCAGCTGTAGAACAAGAGGATCGAAACTTTTGTTTATTAGACTTATGTTATTAAACTCAAGATGAGATATAAGAAATTGTTTATTAGACTTATGTTATTAAACTCAAGATGAGATATAAGAAATTGTTTATTAGACTTATGTTATTAAACTCAAGATGAGATATAAGAAATTGTTTATTAGACTTATGTTATTAAACTCAAGATGAGATATAAGAAATTGTTTATTAGACTTATGTTATTAAACTCAAGATGAGATATAAGAAATTGTTTATTAGACTTATGTTATTAAACTCAAGATGGGATATAAGAAATTGTTTATTAGACTTATGTTATTAAACTCAAGATGAGATATAAGAAATTGTTTATTAGACTTATGTTATTAAACTCAAGATGAGATATAAGAAATTGTTTATTAGACTTATGTTATTAAACTCAAGATGAGATATAAGAAATTGTTTATTAGACTTATGTTATTAAACTCAAGATGAGATATAAGAAATTGTTTAACTAAATACTCAAAAGCTAATAATATAAATATAATTGTAATTTACAATACATTATAAATAATATTTAATAATTATTAGATGACAGAGGAGTCAGAGTTTTCTCCAGAGTTTTTAAAAACTGGAACCAAAGATGTCATTTTCTATCAGACAGAAAAAACAAAATCAATTACATATTACGATTTCTTAATTACATGTTGGGTTTCTCAATTATATTTTATGATTTATTAATTACTTGTTGTGTTTCTTAATTATATCTTATGATTTATTAATTACTTGGTGTGTTTCTTAATTATATTAAGATTAATTAATCTTTAAACTACCTAATGTATTTGACCACAAGTCAAGTTTAACAAGATGAGTTTGTGAGAGAAATAACTTTAATAACAATAGCTGGAGTGATTTAGATGTCTAACAATGAATTAAGCTGTTTCTCTGGTATGACAGAAAGAGAGATTTAACAGTTGAATTAGATAAAAAGTTTTTGCAAATAGTTATATCTTATTCTTGGGAGAGGTGATAAGATTAAACCAATGTATTAGAGATGTTTGACTTACCTTTGTTAATGACACTGCTGATTTTCTAAGATTTTGTTTAAGATTTTCTCTAGAACCTAACTTCTAAGATAATAAGAAAAAATGGAGCTTAGCACCTTTTAACATTGATTTCTTGTAATAGTATAAAGACGTTTGTTTTCAAGAGAATTGTTCTTGTGAAAAAGTTGAAGAAAATTACAATTAGAAACAGCAGATGCACAAGATGTCGAACTATGTGGTAAATTAAGCTTGACTTGAAACCGGTAATAAAGAATAAAAGCTTTTATATCTGCCTGGATTCAGAAGATGTGGTAGGATGCACAACTATTAGCAGGGAAACAAAAGACATCTGCCCAAGGACTACCATAAAGAAAATCACTAAAAGAATTGCAGCTTTATGATAGTAGTAAGTAGTTTGATGATAGATAGGGTCTAAAGAAGAAGTACAAGATAAAAGATTTATAGATATATGATAAAGAATAAAGAGAAAATTAATTCAATGAAGAGGTGCTAAACGGAAGCACAAAAAATAATCAGAGGATTCAAGCCTGATCTTATGACAAATCAGTGAATTGATGCATAGGTATATACCCAGGCCAATTGTGACAATTCAAACAAGACAATTAAAGTCTTTGATAATAATTTTAAATCAAAGGATAATAACCATCAACACAGAGAAAATATAATATAAAATATAATGGCCGAGTTTAAATTAGTCTTACAAATAGTAAGTCTAGTAAATTGTACAGGAGGTAAAATTTAACTGATGAAAAGTTACTTCGAAGACCACAAATA